TAAGAATGTGACCCAATTATTCACAATTCGTCTCCAGTTTTTCTTTTTTTATTATTTATACAGGTTCTTTGTATGTCTCTTTTGAATATTTCTTTTTTTAGGGTAGCATATGATGAAATACCTTTTTAATACTCTTTAAGTCTGTATTGCCCACCATTTTCTGTTTCAGTTGCTCATTAGGGGAGGGGGTCAATTTTGGAACCATGGTATTGCACTCAATTTTAAAGTTAGGGTTTCACATGATAAATAACAACACAAAATATTTTTTTTCAAATTGTTACTGTTTTTTGAGGAAACAAGTTTAAAAATTAAGTTTCAATTCAAAATCGTAGTGTTGGAATTTCCTTCCAATGATCAGTGAAAGCCTTATAAAATTTATAATTTACTGAAGCTTTACAAATTGTATCTGCACAAGATGCATGGCATGGCACAAGGACATTATTACTAAGCCATTGTGCCATTAAATAAGACCGTCATTTATTTCAAAGGGAAATTATACTGAACAATTTAGCTATCTTATCTCTATCTATAAAAGGCAGGATGTGTGTGTGTGTGTGTGTGTGTGTATAATGAATGCACGGCCGCAATTTTCGACAGATTTGCACCAAAATTTACATGCACATGCTCCTAGTTAGCGGAAGGCCAAGACTGACTTTGCATTTCCCAACTCTCATCGATAGTGAAAATAATCAGTTTTTCATGCTTCTCGGCAGTTTTTCATGTAGTTTTGCGGCCATTTTGTACTGGCCAGAGTGAGAGCCTATAGCTGGCTGCCATGAATAGGCAGAAAGATTCTATTGGCCAGTGTGAAAGCCAACAGCTGACACGAATGTTATCTAGCATTCTAGCATAAAAAAAAAAAAAAAAAAAAAAAAAAATCGATAGCTGCATTAGTCACAAGTGGGAAAATTTAAATCTGCATGGCACTTTACTCCAATTGGCTCATTAAACGCTTGCTTAAACTCAACGTTGATTCTGATTCCATGAGAACTGGGTTGGATGTGAAAAAGTATTTGTTGTTAACATTCTTTTTTCATTCGGTTTTTCCAGTTATGAGTCCTTTTTTTAAAGCTGATCGTTTTGTGTTCATTTTGTTTAGTTCTTTTTTCGTAACAGATTTAATGTTCAGTATAGAGCTTAGAAAAAATTCACAGTGTGAGATAGGCAAGAAGTAAGGCATGTAGCAACATCAGCACGGCAAAAGGCACTCTTTTAAAGGTAAGGAAGGGCAAAAATATTTTAAGTCAAGTGATAGCGATTGCTGCATGAGTCGTACAATTTTTGAATCAAGCATGGGCAACACTGGGCCATGCTGCGAGTATGTTATACAATTAAGTAGTTTTAATATGATCTTCAATAAACAATGCAAATTAAAAACATTTTTTCTTATAATTTGTGCCCAGCAGTTTTACAGTGTAATATAAACTTTTATCTGGGATTTTTATTAATTATGATCTAACAAATTTTATTCATTGAGTAGCTTTTTTTTTTTTTAAGTTTTACAATTTTTACTTATTGAATACAGTAAAAATAAAAATACACTTGTGGTGATTCGTAATTAAAATTCTGGCTCGAATATATTTTCCATTCAATCTATCTAATAGGAAAGGTATCAATTTTATTTGGATTTATTCTTGAAATAGTAAAATTGTGAAGTCCATTTGTAAACAAAAACCTGCAGAAATGAGGAATTTCTGTAAATTTTTTTCAGGCTATCTTCAAAGTTAAATGCTCAAAAATTGGTAAAAGCTATGAATCTAATTTTCAGTGGTTGTACTTATCACATCAAACCCCAGCTTTCCATTGGAAAGACGAAATTAAGAGACGCCAATCTCTCTCTGCTCACAGCAGGAAGAATAGCAAAAGTTAGAGTAGTTGGCTGGTTGATTTGTTTAATGGCATATCAACTCCTTATGGGTCATTTAATGCTGAAATTTAATTTTCTTGAGAGCTTTGAAGTAATAAAAATATGACATACGTTATTCTGCTTTCACAATTAAATACATGGTACATGATACTCAGCTTTTGTGCATATACATGTTTGTGTGGACATAATTACTAGAGGCAGTGATATGCATGTTTGATGTTAATTTTTAAAGTTATTTTGGAATACAATCTAAGAAATTGTAGGATATTATATGGATTAATATCATGAAAGTTCATGTTGGTTATTTGGTTATTTGATTTTGTTTAACAGCTTCTCAACTCCTCTATGGATAATTTAATGCCAAAATCTAAATAATCTGAACACAATTTTATGGCTTCAATTACAGATAACATACAGTGTAACCTGGATATAAGAGAGTTGTCGGGACCGGAGAAGAAGTCTCTTATATCCGGGTTTCTCTTATATCCGGGTTTGGTCTATTTTATATACATTAACACAGGCTCTAATTTGGGACCAGAGAAAATCTCTCTTATATCCAGGTTTGGTCTATTTTATATACATTAACACAGGCTCTAATTTGGGACCAGAGAAAATCTCTTTATATCCGGGTTTCTCTTATATCCGGGTTTGGTCTATTTTATATACATTAACACAGGCTCTAATTTGGGACCAGAGAAAATCTCTTATATCCGGGTTTCTCTTATATCCGGGTTTGGTCTATTTTATATACATTAACACAGGCTCTAATTTGGGACCAGAGAAAATCTCTTATATCCGGGTTTCTCTTATATCCGGGTTTGGTCTATTTTATATACATTAACACAGGCTCTAATTTGGGACCAGAGAAAATCTCTCTTATATCCGGGTTTGGTCTATTTTATATACATTAACACAGGCTCTAATTTGGGACCAGAGAAAATCTCTCTATATCCGGGTTTCTCTTATATCCGGGTTTGGTCTATTTATATACATTAACACAGGCTCTAATTTGGGACCAGAGAAAATCTCTTATATCCGGGTTTCTCTTATATCCGGGTTTGGTCTATTTTATATACATTAACACAGGCTCTAATTTGGGACCAGAGAAAATCTCTCTTATATCCGGGTTTCTCTTATATCCGGGTTTGGTCTATTTTATATACATTAACACAGGCTCTAATTTGGGACCAGAGAAAATCTCTTATATCCGGGTTTCTCTTATATCCGGGTTACACTGTATATTGTTGGTCATTCTGCTATAAAACGTATGATTTAAGTTAACCTAATTTAAAAAATATTTTAAGTGAATAAGATTTAAAAATACGAGTTTATACAGTAAGTATTTTTATTTTTAACTCTCTTCAAAGAGATAATTTTTTTAATTAAAATATTTCTACATTAAAGACAGACAAAAAGAGATGCCGCTTTGCTGTTTTGTCCAGTTGTTTGTAGAGTAGTTATTTATATTTTAGCTTTCTTTAAACAGACAATATTTTAGTTATTTAAAAAATATTTTCAAGTGAATATGATTTTAAAATATTTTTTGGCATATTAAAAAAATATTTTTAAGTTAATCTGATTTAAAAAATCAGACTATATGAATTTAAGTGCAGTACGAGATTAGCAACAGGGCCTCATCAATTTACAGTTGAGTTGGCTAGATGTAGCCATGAGTTCTATGCTAACAGTTTCTTTTCTCACACTTCTCACTTGTGGAACTCTCTTCCAGCTCCATTCTTTCCAGTCACCTTTGATCTTTAAAAATTTAAATGCAATGGCAAACGTTATCTACTGTCTTCTTGATTAATCTTCTATTGTTCTCGCTTCTTAGTAATTTTTTTTCTTAAGACAATAGTGACCATAATACATGTCAATCATAAAAGCAATTAAAAGCTTTTCTAATTAAATAATGTCTTAGTTTGATTGCATTTTTTATTTTACAATTCAGTCCCGTTTTACAAAAAGAAATTAATGACTTAAATTCTCCAAAGGGTTCTTCTTTTACTTAATATAAGAAATTAATTAAGCAGATCAAAATTTAATTTTTTGAAATTTCATAAAATTAAATGTGTGTGTGTGTGTGTAGGGAGGAGAGTAAAAGATGAGAAAAAAAAATATATATATATATATATATATATATATATATATATATATATATATATTTTTATGAAGAGTTCCTAAGAAAAATTTCTAAAATAATTTCATTAATTTGTGAATAAGTCCTGAAAGTTTCATTAAAATCCAACAATTATTTGATTTTTGCAAAATTTCAAAAAATCAATGTTTTCTCTCATAGTAAAAAGATTTTCAACATTAATATATATAAAAAAAATAATTAATATATATAAATATTAAAAAATTATATCAAAATTAAATATAAAAAAATTTATTAAAAATTATATTACAAGTAATTAATATATATAAAAATATATTAAAACTTAATACATGTAAAAACATCTATTAAAAAATTATATTAAAACTTAAATAATATATGTAACAAGCCTATTTAAAAATTACAGGTTAAATTTTTTGTCTCACAGCTAACAGAAAATAAAAACAAGATTTTTAATCAAAATTTCGAACATTCTAAATAGGATTAAAAAATATAATTAAAAAAAATCCTTTGGTCTTACTTCCCTTTTACTAATAAAACAAAGATTTTAACAATGAAACTTTATTTTTTTTAAATTTGGGGTATTTTTTGATCATGGCATACTCATTTTTTAGTGAATAAATGGTAATACCTATAAAATAGCATGTTAATTTTTGCTGTTAATTTACAAAACATATTGATCATTAGGCAAAAATAAAGCACTAAATTTCAGTCAATCTTTGTGTTTAAATTAAAAACAATAAATTTTAATTTTATCATCTCTTTTAAACTGGGCTTGTATCGTCTGTCATTTTGTGTCAAACAGATATTTATGACAATGACATTTATGTTCCCTCAGACATTTATTTGAACTTTTTTTTTTTTAACCAAAGACTCCTATTGTTTCACCAACAGTTTAAAAGACAATTAAAAACGCTCCATAGTACAAACTTAAGTTTTTGTATGCTTCTTCTTCTTAATTGTTTAGTTTTTTTACACATCAACCTTACGACCTTTTAAAATAAATTCCATGAACTTTACCTCTCCTTTGAAAACCTCCTCTTCTCTCTTAGGCTTTTTTTCCCCTCTTTACCAAACAACCGGAGCCTGAAGAAGGTCGGAGACTTTGAAAGTCGAAACTATAAATAACAATGAAGATGGAGATAACTGTTCGGATAAAAAAGAAAAACTTGAATAGGGGAAAATAGAAAAAGAAAGTCAACATTTTATTATATATTGTATAAAAATTCACGAATGGAAATATTATTAAAATTATTGAATTGACATTAAAAAAAAACATCTTCTTACCTGAAATTTAAACAAAAAATCTTCAATTAATTAAATCAATTTAAAAAGCTTGTTTATTTTTTTTAAACTTAATAATCTTTTTATTTTTATCAATTTCGATATCTAAAACAAAAAAAAACAAACTTCTGATCTGTTTAAAAAAACAAAAAAAAAGCCTGGAAATAAATCTCCTAAATTTCCAGTAGCTTCTGCTTACCGTTTTTTCAAGACAAGGAATCTTGGAATTTGTGGGCTTCTTTCGCCTTTTCTTCTTAGTATAAAGGATTTTTTTTTATAAACAAAAAATGAAAATGACGTAGAAATTTAACTCGGTGTTAAAATTGCAATATTTGTAATTAAATCCTCCAACTCAAAGAGAGAAGAAAAAAAACAACCTAAATCCAAAAGCCGGTGACAAAGATCAAAGTCCCTCCGTTAAATAATACTTTCAGTTATAAAATAATATATAAATCAAACCTATTTTAAAATAGCCATAGAATCATATTTTTAGAATTATTTTTTTAGAATTATATTTAATTTTATGAGTGATAATCAACTATCTTATTTCGCAAAACTATAATAATATCTCGGAATAGATTTTTACTGATAGTTATTAACGGAATACTTTATCAAGGGGGACACATCAGTTCTTCACCGTATTCATATATTTCATCATGAGCGTATCTGCCGTCTTTCCGCGTGTTAAATTGAATAATGGTATTTTTATGCCTTTAATTGGATGTAAGTATTATTTACTATTGTATATAAGGGAAATACAAACATGTTGAAAGAAATCCCTGTTTATTCTGCAGGATTATGATTAACAAATCAAGATATAGAAAGGTGGGGCAAAATAGGCCAACACTACTGTCGATGGTCGTGTTATTTAAATCTAAAGTGTTTTTCTTGAATTTTGCCTTGCAATGTATTTCTCTTATTGTTGGAAATATTTTTAAAAAAATAGGCAATCGTACGGTAAAAAATCAAAAGTAAATATTTATCAGTAATTAATAAGAGCTGAATTTAAAATTTCAAAGAATTAAATTAAAAAATAATTAATTACTGCCCTAATTTTCTTTTCTTTGACATTTTAAATGCAAGCATATTTATGCTTGCAAAAAAAATAAAAAATAAAAATAAAAAAAAAAAAATAAAAAGGGTGCTGGTTGTATTTAAAGATGAGAAACCCACAAGTATTTTGAAGTATAATTTTTTTTTGTTACTTATCTACTGTCTATCCTATCATTTCCCTAAGACATTTGTGGTGAGCAGAGTACGAAATGAAATAATATCTCTCTTTAGTCACTCTCTTCAAATTTGACCCAGCTGAAAAAAAAAAAGACGAAAACAAATTCGCAAACCTATACAAAATTTTCTTTGGACCAATGAAAACCTTGTCTTCACAAGAATTAGCCACTGAGACTAGAAAAGAAAGGAAAATAGCTAGTCTATGCAAAATCCTTTTTGATCTAAAATAAGGAAAAAAAAATTAAATCAACCAGAGAAGAGTATCTGAAATTATGTGAAAAGATTCATTTCTGTTGAAGCGTTCAGATTTTCACCGGTGTCAAATTACTTGCAAATTATATTATTGGACTCAACCGAGAACTTGACACTCCAAAGAACTTTATTTCTTCAATCCAAGAAAGCCAAGTGTTTCAAAGTATCTATCTTCGTCTACTTTTGAACATATTGTGGGTGATCCCATTTGACTTTGCTAAAAGACCGTCGCTAGGGGAAGAACCTTAAGCTTATGAATAGGCAATGATTTTCTCACACATTCTCTTTCCTCTTTTATAACTTGGGCTATGAGATGTCATCGTAGATGGGGAAAACGTGTTCCTCATTGGGGCATGTTCATATTCAATGTCTTGCTTTTCTCTTGTGATTGTTGTACTCTTTCACACGTATCTATCACGTAAGTCTACACAAACTTCATACACACACACATACACACACACACACACACACACACACATTCTCTAATTTAAATACTTTATGAAACTAGTCTTTAAATGTCATTTTTGTTATTTGTAATTGTAATAATTTTGTTAATACATGCATTGTCATTTGTTTTATATTGTTTTGTGATATCCATTTATTACTTGGACTCATATTCAAGTCCACAATAATTGTTACAGGAAAAATATACCAAGAGACAAATGTTTTCTATATAAACACAACAAGCATTCCCACTACAGCATGCAACCATATATACCTTCTGTGAACAAAGAACTATCTCATCTTTGTTTAAACATTTTTGAATATTATTAAACGTGTCAATTTGTAAATAAATTCCTTATCTTGTTTTAAAATTTACCCGTGTGTTTCCTAGTTATTATTAACCACCATTAATTTTATTGCCATGGGTAAATCAACTGTTCATTTTAACCCCTAAGTCCTGCACCACTCAATGTGTACAACATTGATATTTTATTGGTTATGTTATAGCATTAAAAAAATAAATAGATATTGCTTTACTACGGGGTGGGGTTTGTATTATACGCAAGGATGTAATTTATTCCCTGCTTTTAGCTTCAGGAACACACGGCTTGTATTACCCTTGTTAGGTGATATTTCTTTAAGATATTTCAACTATTAATATTTTTAAAAGATTTATGACAATTCAATATTGATTGAGTAAAGTCATCCTTCCAGAAAATTGAAATTTTATATGTGATTATTTGCCATATTTATTCATTTAAACCCCTAATCCTCGCGCTACTATATAGTGATTTTCCAAGTGTAGCTTAGATGTGGCACAAAGCCAAAAGTAGGGGGAACTCAGTGAGGATTGAACTCACTACTCAGTCATAATTGTTCTAGCGAGACAAGCTTGTTAACCATTACATTGCTTTGAGGTACCCGCTCCATGCCACTATATATGTACCCATTGAGATTTTATTGGATAATAAGTTACAACTTAAAAAAAAAAATAGATATTGCTGTACTAAAGTGTTTGTATTATACTCAAGGTTGTAATTTAATCCTTGTTTTTAGCTTCAGATGCATTGTAATTTATTCACTGTTTTTAGCGATCAACAATCCAAGAAAGATAAGTGTTTCAAACTATCTCTCTTCATCTACTTTCAAATGTATGCAACCACACATCTCTTCGGTGAGCAACAAACTCTTTTATATTTGTCTTAAACATTTTGAATATTATTTTGTGTCAGATAATTTGATCTGTTGTATGAGCATTTCTGTTTCATGACAATTTGTTAAAACTACAGACTTCAAAAAATTTCTGATTTATTTTCCTGAAACGAGATACTGACACAACTTCATGCATGTAAATTCATAAATAAATTCCTTCTCTTGCTTTGTTAAGATAACCCGTATGTTTCATTATCATTCTCAGTCTCCATTAATTTTCTTGACATGGGTAAATTAATTATTCATTTTAACCCCAAAGCCCCATGCCACTATACATTTGGGTATTAGTTTGATATCTAAGATGCAAAACTTTTACTTACTAAGCTTAGTTTAGTTCAGCAGTCTTAAACATGCAGCCTGTGGAGAGGCATTTTTGTGACCAATATTTTTCTCAAATTTAATAAAATTTCTATGTAATTAATAGATTTGTCAATGTGCCCCTTCCATATTTTTTTTTTTTTGCATTAGCAGAAAGTGTAAACATTTGAACAAACAGCCAATCATTTTTAAGGTCATCAGGGTCTGTTCTAGAACCTGTCCCAGAATGGTTAGAAAACTCGACCTCCCGACATTAATTAAAAAACGAGAAATATGCTTTGCAACAGTCTTGGTCTAATTTTTTTTCTTTTCTTTTTTTTTATAAGAAGAAATAAATTTGACAACTTGTATTGGGGGAAAATAGAAATAAGTATCGAAATTTTATATGCATTTTTTGTAATATGCATAGAGTGTCAACCCCCCCCCCCCCCATCGAAAAAAATTGACATCATTTTGCAGTCTAATAACATGGCTAATTCTCATTCAAATGATCTCAAATTTTAACAAAATGTGTAAAAACAAAGTTGACATTGTGCACTTTTCTTCTTTTTCTAAGTGTTTCACCCCAAGCAAGGCGGGAAGCCACTAGGACGCAAGGGGTTACAGGAGATTTGGAGCAAGATCAGATAGGAGTGATAGAGGAAAGGATGAGGAGAAGGATAGTGGATAGATCAAGGCACCTGGAGATGTCAATTGACATTACATTTGAATAGTTGGAGATTAGGGAAACTGGAATAGGGAAGGGAGTTCCACAGGCAAGAGGTGCAAGACATGAAGCTATTGGAGTAGAAGAGATGGCCACATTTAGTAGTTTCGACAGTGAAAGGGTGAGAGCGGGATGCCAGCCTCATAGGGCGCTTGAATTCATGAAGTCTGGGAACCAGCGAATGCAGCTCCTCGGAGCAATTACCATGGAAGTATTTATAAAAAAGACAGAGAGAGGCGATGGCGCGTCTGTGAGAAAACGACTGTAGACGATATGCCAGAACAGGGCCAATTATATTGCATATCCGCCTCTGGATCTTATCAAGAACCCCAAGGCAAACAGAAGGGGCTCCAGACCATATATGGCAGCAATACTCCATGCAAGAGTGAATTGTTGATTTGTAGATCTGAAGGATCGATTCTGGGTAGAAAAATTTCCTGGCACGGCACAGGGAGCCAACTTTCCTTGCGGTGGATGAAGCAATTGACTCAATGTATTTGTTCCATCTCAGGTCAGCCGTCAACGTGAGACCGAGCAGCCGCAGAGAGGTGCTCTCGAGAAGTTGAGCATCAGACATTCTAATGGAGGGCAGGGAAGGATCTCTGTGGTGATTAATAGAGAGCAGTTTTGTTTTTGAAGCATTAAAGTTGACCAGCCAATTCCTGCCCCAGTTCACAACCGATTGGAGGTCCTTTTCGAGACGCATGTCCAGGTTAGTTTTGTCAGCGACACTAGATTTGTTTTTGAGGCAGGAATAAATTGTGGTGTCATCCACGTAGATGCCAACTTGGGAATTTATGGCATCAGGAAGGTCATTTATGTAGATAAGGAATAGAGTGGGGCCTAGGATGGAGCCTTGAGGAACACCTGCGTTCGTAGGATAGGAACTGGAGGAGAATCCATTGAGAACGACCTTCAATTCACAGTTTGACAGGAATGATTGTATTAGGTTAAACAATCAACTTGTTATACCATAACCCTGGAGCTTGCAAAGAAGGCCAGCATTCCAAACCCTATCAAATGCTTTGGAGATGTCTAGGGTCATGGCACGAGCTTCCCTGTTATTTTGAAGAGCTTGGTAGACAGTTTCAGTGATGGCCATAAGCACATCAGCTGTAGATTGGGCAAAGCGGAAGCCTTATTGCTTGTCTGAGAGCAGATTATGGGATGTGAGGTGGTTAACCACCTCAGTATTGATTAGTGCTTCAAAGACTTTGCCGAAGAGGGGTAGGAGACTGATAGGACGGTAATTAGAAGGGTCAGACAAGTTGCCAGAGTTCTTGAAGACAGGAACAATCGAAGAGGACTTCCAGCAGTCAGGAAAATAAGATTCCTTGAGGTAGTAGTTGTATAGTTTAGAAAGGGCGGGCACCAGTTCAGGCGCGCATTTCTTCAAGACAATGGCTGGTATCCCATCTCCACCACTAGCCTTGTTGGGGTCTAAATTGGAGATAACGCCCAATACCAAAGACGGGGTTATGTGTAACCCACTCAGTAGGGCTTCAGTTTTAAGAGGGAAGTCAGGTATGGGTACACCGGAAGAGTTGAACATTGAATTGAATGAAAATTTCCGAGCAAAAGCATTCAGCCTTGTCGGCAGAGGAGGTCAGGACTTCGAACTGGTTGAACAAAGGAGGTATAGAGGGTTTGCAATTGTTCAATATGCTCTTGCAGAGATGCCAATAATCTCAAAGACAATCTACGAGGAAGATGAATCTGACATGCCAGTGATAATGACAATGTGCTGTTGAAATGGCCACCTGACTTGATACCTTGCGATTTTTTTTCTATGAGTTTATTTGAAAAGACAGGTCTATATTCCCCCACTTCCTACCAGCTTAGAGGAACTTAAGGCAGAGAATCACTGATATACTGGAGAATGTTACATAAGACATGCTACAGCATGTTTGGCAGGAGCTGGACTACTGACTTGACATGTGTTACAGGTGATGCACATATTGACCATCTATGAAGCTTTGTGAAATTTATTATAAAATCTACATCCATTTGAATATCTTGTTTGAATCTTGATAAATAAATCTATTCTTGTTCAGCATGAAGCCTATTTAATTCTGTTAATCTGGGATATTTAGTTACTCAGATATTCACATTTTAAATTATGCCAATTTTTATACATATAAACAGACTGTTTCATGCTAGATAGTATCTATAGTCAAGAAAAAAACCCAACACAAGTAACTTGATGATTGCATCTAGCATGAAACAGTCTGTCGCCTCTGAGTGTGGACTTCAATGTTCACTTGTGTGTGTACACACACACACACACACACACACACACCAATATTTTAATGAAAATTGCCCTAGACCTTACTTCCTTTTTTGTGACTACCAGTTTTTGTTAACCTAAATAAAGCAAAGATTAACTTTTAGCATTTGTTTATTTTCATTTCTTTGTCACAGAGGGACAAGTGTCAACTCCTACTCAAAAGATTTTGCCCACACAGCATTAGTTTTGGTGGGGAAAAAATAAAGTCTGACCTTTTTTTTTTAACACACCTTGTACATATTTTCTGAAGTGTTGTCAAAATTTGTGGTTGCCCTATTGGTGGTACCTAGAAAAAAAAAAATCTCCAGTAATCTTTAACATTTGTACCCACAATAAAACGGAATGTCAAAATGATGGGTTTTCCCTTGACACTGCTATTATTTTAACTACCTTCCCTCCTTCTGCAATGTTTATTGATTTAAAAAGTGATGATTAGAATTTTGATAAAATTCAAAAATATGAAAGTG